TTGCATTATTCTTCAGGCTCCTGGAGTTTGATTCGGGTTATTTTGGATGATTGTTGAGCAGAGACCAGCCTTAAAGGCTTCTTAGATATATTTGGGTCACATCTATATATATATTTATATAAGCATTTTTAAAATGTTGAAAGGATATACACCAAACTGTCAACAGAGGTTATCTCTGAAGGATGAAATGGCAAAGGACTTTTACTTTCTCTGTATTGTGTTTTTAAAAATTCTTTATTTAATCATGCATTATTAAACAATACAGATATAAAGAAAGGGAAAGGGAAAATCTACTAAAATTAGACAAAGTGCACAGTAAATAAATACATGTTATCTACAAGCATACTTAGTAAACAGTAATTACGTGACAAATTAAATAAAGCTATTAACAAAGACTGAAATAATGAAAACCCAAAACAATGGGCTATCACCCTCCCCCAAGCCACCTCTGGCAGAGCTAAACAGTCATTTCTGGGAGTAGAGACTCACCCAAGGACTTCGTGTCCACAGGCTCTGTACTCTTCCAGAAAGGATTGCTGGGAGAGGAGCCCCAGGTCCAGATATGGGAGCTGTGGCTGGGAGTAGAACCAGATGAATTGGACTTCATACCTGGGTGCTAGCCGTGTTCAGAGTTCTCTCCCCAATCCCAGCCTCTCTCTGCCTCTTCTCATCCCTCTCATTTCCTCCTTTGTGCCTCTCTGTCTCTCTGTCTCTGTCTCTGTCTCTCTCTTTCTCTGTGAATCTCCATTGGATTTGGCAAACACATGAGTCACTTCTATTTAATACCCCATTCTGCTCTCAGGGGGCCTTCATGGTAGGTAAAGGCCCTAAGGAAACTAGGAGAAGCACATCTGTCTGTAAGGTGTTCCCAGTCCAGGACAGGGGCCACACACAGACCCCAGGCTGCTATATCTGTGGGACAAGAAAATATCCCCGAATTCATCAGTTTCCCATCTCTGGGACACACACAACTTCAAGGAGGAGAGATTTATTTGGCACATGGTTTCCAGTGGATTCTGTCCAAAGTCAGCTGACTCCGAGGCAGAAGCACACAGTAGAAGGGCATGGCTAGGAAAACTGCTCATCCATGGCAGCCAGGCAACAGAGAAAAAAGGCAGGAGCTGGGGACAAGAGTACACTTTTCCAGGTCAAGCCACCAGTGACCCACCTCCTACCAGGCCCCACCCCTTAACAGAACGTTCAGCTACTGTACTCAGCACTGGATGGATCCACTGATCTAATGAGCGCCCCATGATCTAATCACCTTCCAAACACATGAGACTCTGGGGAAACATTTTAGATCTAAACCCATTCTTGCAAAGTAGTCGAAGAACAAAGTGTGAGCAGATACTCTTTCAGGAAGGCCAAGGTTTTATTTGAGCAAGCAGGAGAACTCAAATAAGTGCATAGATAGCAGCACATTTAGGCCAAGGAGCTGGGCAGTCTGCTGCATGTTGGAGATCTGGGAACCCAATGGAGGAGTGTAGCAGACGTAGAAAGAAACTACACAATTTGAGTTCCAAGGGTGAAGGGCCTTGAATGTCATGCTGGCTGAAACTATACAGCTGAAACTGTATTTTCATGGCCTTGAGAAGCTGGCAGTGGCTTTAAATTGAGGTGGGACCGAGTCAGGCATGCAGTTTAGGAAGATCCCTGGCACTGAGGTGGAGGATGGTGGAAGGGGAGATAGTTCAATCCTGCAAAGCAGTAACAAAGTTCTGTAACTGTCCCAGCGTGAGATGATGAGGTCTCAGTGGATACAGTATCATTGGAAGTGAGGAGATGCTGAGAAAACCATGTTTCAAGGTGAGGCCACTCTGATTTGGCACAGATATCAGGGCTCTCCCCCATGGGTCTCTACAGTAGACTGTCTAGTTCTTAGAGGAAAGAACTCCTTACTGTATATCATTCATCCATCCTATTGCATAGCATTCATTCACTCAAAGGACATTATTGATGCCTTCTCTGTGCCAGGCCCATGCCACTCACCAATATACGAACATGAATGGCATATAATCACTGCCATCTAGGAGCTGAGAGTCCAATGGGGGAAAACAAATGTGTTATACTGTTGTAAAAGTAGACTCAAGTATTCCTCTGTCTGTATATACATGCCTTTGCAAAGTGACTTTGGACTTTCTCTCACATGAGAAGGAACCTATTTCCCATGAATTGAATCTGGGTTGATCTTGTGATTTTCCTTGGTGTGCAGAATGTGGCATTTCCAAGTCTATACCTAAGAGTCCTGGGGACTTGCTGCTTAAGCTCTTAGAACTTTGCTTTGCCGTGAAAGACTACGTGGAGCAGGGCCAAGTTGGTGCCATTGTGCCAGCTGGGAAGCAACATAAGAAAGCAAAGCCAAGATCAGCCCATTCCAGCCCAAATCAGCAGAACCTCCAGATGACTCAGATTCATGAGTAGTAATAAATTATTTTTATTTTATGACCCAGCTCTTGGCTAATTTGTTATATGGCAATAACTAACTGATACAGCATATAATAAATTAATCTTTTAAAAAGCGTACTATAAAACTCATCACTTGGATGTCACCAGGACCTCGTAAAGAACCTCTGTTCTCATCCTACATCTAGCTTGAAGTGGGAAGAAGCATTAGATCATATTCTAGGGAGACTATATTCCAGGGGTCTCTTGCGTTTCTTCACATTTTGCAAGCAAAGCCACCTTATTTAGGACTATCTTTTAGAATGTTTGTATAATGAGTAGTCTTAAAAACTAGAAGTAGTTTCTCTCTTGGGCAACCAGGAAGTTTATTGGTTGTCTAACATAATAAAGTTACCATTCTGTAGGGCAAATTTCAAGCAGTCGTACTGCTCATTATAAAACACTTGGGTTCCCTAAGCTAGGGTTTCCTTTCCTCTAATGAAACCCTCTGCACATGCTACTGTGTTAATTAGCTGTCTCTGTGTCACCTTTGGGAATTGGAGCTTTGGGAGCCATCGCAACTGCTGCCATTGGCTACTTCTATTGCCATGAGTCACAGTGTCCTTTGTGTCTTATTTATGAGTCTCATATCTTCTGCCAGCAGCCATGACATCATGGCAGACTAACTTCATAGCCTGCAAGAAGCACAAGTCTCAGATCATTCATAGTGCTTGAACCCTTCCAGAAAGCATATAATCCAATCCTACTAAGTCTTAGTGAGTATATAGCCTACTAAATATGTCATGGGAAGACATAAGAGAGATGTACATAGTACACCACACAGGTAACATTTTCTACAAATAGCCCCCAAAACATCATCTTCAGCCATCTGCTACCTCTTCTCCCTTTGGGCCCTTCCCCAGCCCATCTCCTCTTCAGTGTTACTGCTGTATGGCCAGCAGCTCACTCAAATCAGAAACCCCCACTTCCAGGCATTTCTACAGCTCTCCCATGCTTGAAAGGCTCTTGGCACAGGCTTCCCCTAGATTTTCCAGGCCAGCCTCCCCACACCCACCCCTAACACAACCAAAAAGATTTTTCATGAGCTCCACCTTTCTTAAAAGGTAGCTGACAACTTAGCTTTCCCATAGAGAGTCTGAGATACAGGCGGTGTGCTGTAAGTCAGAAATATTCCTGATGGGGAGATGTAGGAAGGATTTGGAAATGGTGACATTAATCCCCGAAGGAGAAAGAGGTTTTCCAAAGACAGAAGAGATAAGTGCCTGCCAGGTGGAGTGTCATATGATGAGAGAGAGGGGACCATCCCAGATCAGAGGGCTGTGGTCAGCCGTTAAAGGGCAGGCTTCAGGCACATACTGGGGGACACTGGAGTTTGCAGAACAGAATGACGTATTGAAACAACTGTGAAATGTAGCCTATCTCCAGGGTGCTGGGCACATGTGTGAAGTTCTTTAAATTCATACATGAAATATCAAAGCACAAGGGCTTGTAACTAAAGGAAACACCCACTAATCATAGTTTTCGCCAGGAACACCCTAACTGACATTTTAATTAACAAGCTGTTCTCCCCCCACTCCGTTTTTAATATAAGGACTTCTCGTTGCTTTAAATCTAAAATTAATTAAGTGAGAGTTCTCCCGTGGAGTGGAGTATATGGCTCATGCTAAATGGACGGGAGTGATAAGGTAAGATATATGGCTCGAAGTAGGGGGCTGGGCACTGAAGAATTCTTTACCTTCTAGCTGAGGCAAACTAAACCAGCCATAGCCCGTTTGCTCACTGAAGATCCAGGGATCCTGGACTTTTTCCAAGTAATACTGCATTCAAGTCTTAGCCCAGCTAAGTCCCAGAATTATTGAAGCTTAAAATGCTGTTACAAGGCCCTACATGATCCAGCCCCAGCCTCTGTCACTCAGACCTTAGTCACACCATACTCTGCCTTAGTGCTGGCCCCAGTCACATTGGTATTCTTGCTGTGTCCAAGCATGACAAGCTCATCCCCAAGTGAAGGTGTTTGCACTTGCTGTTTCTTAGCCTTGGGGCACTGGTCCAGTACACATGGAAGGCAAGCTCACCTCTCTTGTTAAACTTTTCTAACACCTCTGCTTAAAATACTAATCAATCCCTCTCCCCATCTTCATAGCCCTCATTACTGCCTGAGATCGTGTGCTACTTATGGTTAATTCTCTGTCTCTCTCCACCACAAAGGCAGCCCCAATAAGGTTGGGATTTGCACCTCGCTGGTGCATTCCCACATGTAGGACATGGTTCATTCTCAGTAATCATTTGTTGAATGAATGGAAGGACATAATTCTTTCTGTTTAGAATATTCTTCTCCTTCATGTCCTTCCTCCCCTCTCTCCCTTCTCCTTTGCCTGCCAGACTCCTGCTTATTCTTCTGCTTTCACATTAAACAACATGTCTTGATCTTCCTAGAATGGTCTAGGCCTCTCTTTGATCACTCCCTTAAGCAATCATCATAACTGACATTAATAATTGTTAGAACTGATTGTTTAATATGTACCTAGAATGTAAGTTCCCTGAGGTCAATGAGAGGATGAAACGCTCCATGATTAGTAGCTGCTATTTTTATTTTATTTTATCACATCACCACATCATCTTCAGCACCACCATCAGCTTCACCATCATCATCACCCTCTACATCATCATGCAGGATTTTCCCACCAGGGCCAGAAGGAGAAGTTTTCCAAAGTAGCTCCAAACACTGAGATAATCGCATGATATGTGAAGGTGTTTGAGGGTACCCTGGGTCTTGAGGGTCCCCCGAAGGTCTGTGTGTTAAAGTTTGGCCCCAAGGGCAACACTACTGGGAGAGTAATGGTGGTAGAGCCTTTACAGGATAAGGCCTTAGATCATTTGCAGATGCTGTTACCGGGAATTGTGGAACCCCAGTCTCTTCTTCCTTTCCTTTTGCCTCCTGCACATTAAGTGAGCTGTTTTCCTCCACATACCCTCCTTTCCTAGCTGCCTTGCCATAGATCTAAAGCAACAGAGCCAGCCACTCATGGGCTGGACCTTCCAAAACTAAGACCCAACATAACCCCTTTATCTTTATAAGCTGATTGTCTCAGGTATTTGTTGAGTAACACGAAGCCAGATGGCACACAAGAAGGGGTCTGGGTGATCTGGGTTGAGGTCTGCAGCACAGGAGTTCTTGGCATAAGCATGAGTAAGCAGTGCAGAGTAGAGTCTCTTCCTGCTGTTGAAATTTGTTCCTAGAGGCAATGAGTCAGCTGCATTGCATCACATCGCTTTGAATATAACATATTTTACTTATCTATTCTTCTCTTGATGGACATTTTAGGCAGTTTCCAATTCTTTGCTGTGACAAATCATTCAGCCATTATCCTTTCAGTCTCCTGTATCATCAGATCTTTTCTTTTCTATGAGGTTGTTCCCACCAGCCAACAAATGTATGGTAATTTTTCTCATCTTGAAAAAACAGTAATAATAATATATAATAATTTAATAATAATAATTACATATATATAATATAGTAATAACTGTCCCTGACAGGGTTCTGCATGAGATGGACCTCCTGGTCTTGTCACTGATGTCATCTCCCCCTCCATAACTCTTCCTGCTTTGGCCACATTGACCTATCAATCATTGGTGAATCAAATTGGTGAATCAAATTCACCAAGCCACATCTATCCCTATGGCTTGTGCACTGAATAGTCCCTGTGTTCAAAATCCTCTCTCCCCTCCCATAGACATAGCCTCATGTTTCACTATGGCCAAAGAGAGGCCTTTCTTACCCATATCAGTCAATTCAGGTGACTATAACAGAAATTCTATAATGGTGTTGAATGTCTTTTTATTGTTTCTTAGTATTTGCCTTCCATCCTCTGTGTCCATATTCTGCTTGGGTTGGCCTGTCTGGGCATCAGTGCTCTTTGACATTTGAGCAAACTGGTTGAGATGCTCTCCAGCTCCCTTCCAGCTCCAGGGGTCTTTAGTGCCATTCACTTGACAGCCCTTTATTGATCATCCTTATAAGGCCTTCTCCTAGGCACTGAGAATGCGTCTGCAAACAAGTGGGACAAAGTCTTGCTTTAATACAGTTTGTATTGTAGGAAACCAAGTTGTAAAATAACCAAGAACACAAACAAGGAAATGATACAAATTCAGACTTCACTTGGTGCCATGAAGAAGAGAGACAGGGTGGGAGGGATTGTTGCAAAAAGCTTTTCTAGGAAGGTGGTATTTGAGCTGGCAGCTGAATGATGAGAGGGAGCCAGCAATGGATAGATGTAGGGAAACACAATCCAAGCCAAAGGGACAGCAAGCAGAGAGGTCCCAAAACCAGCTTAACAATTTTGAGGGGAAGAGAAAATGCTGGGGAGACTGGAATGAAGCTGGACATCAAATATCTGAGCAAGAATATTCCAGCCCCCCCAAAAATAGTGCATACCCTGGCCATAAGGAAAGAGATGTCTTAGTTACTTTTCACATTGCTGAGACAAAATACTCAACACCCAAAGTTAAAGGAGGAAAGGTTTATTTTGGCTCACAGTTTGTGGAGGTTTCAGTCCATAGCTGGCTGGCTCCAAGGCAGAGTGGCATGGCAAAGGTGCATCACAGAGGAGAAACAGTTTATGGCAGGCAGAAGGCAAGAAGGCAGCAAAGTAGCAAGGAAGCAGCAGCAGCCAGCCTCTCCCTTTTATCCCTTCCAAACTATGTGGGTGGTGCTTCCCACACCCAGAGTGAGCCTTATCCACACCCAGAACTCTGCCAAACAAATCGGTGGACTAATTTAATAATCACACACCCTTAATCTCAGCATCACACACTTAATTCCAGCATCACACACCCTTGATGCCAGCCACCTCTAAGAAGCCCCACTTATGACCACATGAGGCTTTGGGAGGACATCTAGACACAAGCCATCACATACATATGTTAATAAGGCTGCTTGATGGAACTGAAAGGGACACTGATGCTGGAGCAGAAATTAGAGAAGAGAGGCATGCACCAGAGAGAGCGGGAGGGAAGGCTAGAGCGGAAAATCTTGTCCAGCCTACTAAGTGTTGTGGACTTTATCCCAAAGCCAAGGGAGAAAGACAAGGTTTTCTCTGCAGGAGAGCTGCATGCTCAGATGTGCTTTCTTTGGAGAGGCTGCAAGAAGTGTGAGGTGGAGAAGGACTTAAACTGATCCAGGGAGCCAGGTTAGGAGGCTGGAGTGGACATCTGGCATTTCTGATTGCTCCATCTCTGGAAGTCCTCCTGGGTTTGGAGACCTATCATTATGAGAGTTATCTGGGAGGCAGGACCTGTTCTGCATGCCAGAAGCTAAAATGATAGATACTTGCTATGCTTGACCCCTGCAGGAGGAGCAGGAAATGAGCTCTGGCTAGCTGTGCTTGCTTGGGATTTGAATCTGAAGATGAGAACCAGAACAACTGGTAACATTCAGGAGTCACTGTAGAGATGGTGGCATGTGATAGCTTTCAGCATGTCCATCAAAGAAGGTGCTGCCCTGTTCTAACAGAACACAAGACTGTCAGGAAAAGCACAGGTGCCATCCAAAGGAGTAACCACTGCCCAACCCCAGCCACCAGGACCAGGCTGGCAACAGAGTCCCATGTGGCCAGATTTTCAGATTGCCCAAAAGAAGCTAGAAAGCCAAATTTTTATATAAAATCACTTAGATTTTGTGCTGATTACAAATTGAAATTGGAGCAGAGAGGTCATACATAACTTGCCAGTCACCAGTTTATAACTTCCTTCCTAATGTGTTATCCTTTTGAGATAAGGAAATCTTTCATTACATCTAACAAGGTAAAAAGGGAGCATTTTAGCAGAAGGTTGGGCAATGCCTGTTGGAGCTGGAATCTCCTTGGCTAAAATAAATCTTTAAACTTCCATTGCTTCCTAAAGCACAGAATTCCAAAGACAGAGGAAGAGCTGAATCCAGGAGAAAGTAAGGGGTGTCCTCTAGATTAAAGTAGCTGTAGCTGGAATAGAAAAGGCTATGGGTAGAGAAGTGGAACAAACACTCAGGCATATCACCCTCATCTATGAGTGACCCTGCCTATCCCAAGAGCACTGTAGTTTCTCCGGGAAGAAGGGGTAGGTAGCATTGGGCAGAGGCAGGAAGCAATGGTCTAAGACATCTGGACTCTGCCACCAATGCATCAAGCAACCCCAGGTCTGTTGCCAGCCCCTCCCTGGGCCTCGACTTCCTACTGCACCATGAGTAGGTGGGGCTAGATGAGCTCCAAGAGCACATCCCACTCTGTGGTCCTATGTTGCTGGGACAGTTGGAGGAGGAGAAACCTCCTGGAACATGTTCCGTGGGGTGGCTGGAGAAGCACGCTGAGGCCTCCCTCCACCACACATGAGCAATCATTTCTGGAGTAAGTTCAGATTCAAGCAGCTTTTGTAAACTGCCCCATTTAAATTAAAACAAATCAATATGCTTTCTAAAATTTAGTCTCAGCTAAACAGCTGTGACAGTTCATAGCAACCTGAACTTGAAATGAACCCACCCTACGTATAAATAAAGCCTTTGATGTCTTCATTAGTTTCTCACATGCCATTTTTTCACAGTCTATCAGGCTAAGTGCTTTGCAACTTATATATATTTTTGCAGGAGGAGTATTTAACCTTCTGATTAGTCACTGCAAGCAGCACAATGACAGAAACCCTGATTTTGCACACAATGAATTTATTGATAGATTTAGCCCATTAGCTGTATTTACCTGTCAGTTCTATGGACACTAATGAGTTGTTTTTCATGGACTAATGAGAACTGTAATGGCTAATGGATGTTTACAGCCTCACTGCGCCACACCATGTGATGCCTGAGCACCCGCTCCTGTCCCTCTGAGTCTTTAATTGGCACCATCAGAGGACTCTTTAATTATATTTGAGCAGACAATAAAGATACTGGCCAAATCAATGGGAGGGAGACAGTGGGATTCTTCAGGAGGCTGGTCATTTTGATGGGCACCAGCCCAGTGCTCCCATCAGCAGTATGACTTCTCCTATGACACTCTTCAGCGGGAGGAAGTGTTAAAGAATGCCCATGCAAAACATGTCTCTACAGTGCTGCCTTCCAGTTCACCCATGGACTTGGAGCAGGGCTGGAGGTCATGGTCCAGCCAGGAAAGTATGATCCACAAAGTAGAGACCCTCCAGACACTGAAATAAAGGGTATCCCTGGACCCTTGGATCTATAAGTTTTGTCCATCAAGGACATATCTATCTGTGTTATATCCAAAAATGGGGCTGTGGTTAAGGTCAGTAGTAATCAGATAATATTACTTGCAAGGGAGAATTGTTTTATGGGAAACTTACTCAAAAAACCCGATCTTTGCAGTATTTATTCACCCATTCACACATTTATCCATTTATTCAGCACTTAACAAATATCCACTGCAGATAAAACTCACCAAAAATGGCAAAAAAAACATAGTAAGTAGCATCTTATCAGGTAGGCAAGTAAAGGAACAGAACACCTCACTTTACAGAATGTTTTTTAAAGGACTATACCTCATAATTATGTTCACTTCAATTGCATAGAAAACCATTGCAGAAATCATGTATCTGTGTCAAGGCCCCATACTTGCTGGACCTACCATTAGACATTTCTGATCAGATTCAATATGTCAGATGGCTTGAGAACACCTCATTCTTTCCAGTAGGTGAAACTATTATTGATCAGTTTGTGATAGTTACAACAGAGATCAACATGGCTGGCCAAATATCTCCTCTGAGGAGGCTGGTAGGAATAGGGAGGAGCCTGAAGACTCTCCGTGACAGGCACAACCTATGGAAATGCGGGGCCTGGACAAGAGTGAACTGGCGAAGTGAGCTGGAGTGGGGCATGCTACCAAAAGGACATTCTCTTTTAACCCAACAGGATCACACAAGATCACTGGGCATAAGGCACAGGGGCAGCAGCTATTTGAAGGCCTATCTACCTGTGAGTGAATCTACCACTGGCTATGTGCTCTTATCAGCCTTGACCTTTCCCAGCACTCTAGCCAGCCTTGAGAGGGAAGCCTAAACCTTCTTGGTGTTTCCTATGGGCATGAACACATCCAATCTGGTGATGAAGGTGCTGCTAGAGAAATTAGAAGAGCAGTTTCCATAGAGAAGTGGGGGTGGAAGCCAGATTGCACAAGGATTGAGGAAGGAGTGGGTGGTGAGGAAGTGGCAGCAGTGACAAGTGAGTGATGCAGATAGATAGAGCAGTCACTCAAGGGGGTCAGGAAGACCTGAGAACGTTTATGAGTTTCTAGGAAGATGTCAACCAAAAAGAAAAGATGGGAAATGCAAGAAAGGGGAAGTGACTGATGGAGTAAGTCTCAGAGGTATCAGGAGTGGGGTGAGAATAGAATAACAAAGAGAGGAGGGATGAGCCTCAGAACAAGAGAAGAGCTCTATCTCTAATAATGAATGGGAACCAATTAAGATGCCCAGCATTCTTGACATAAAAAGGAAGGAAACTAGCTAGCTTTTGTATCTTCATATTTTGTTCTTTAAGCAGACCAGAAGACCTCGCTTGTGTCAGCCCAGAACCTGGAAGAGACTGGAGGTTTAGAGCAGCCACTCTAGGGATTCCAATCTGGAATCACTCAGAATAAAATGATTGGAGAGAGCCCTGACCTGGGCTGCCCAGTAACCATCTTTAGGAGACTCAAGGCTGTCTGGTTCTGCCCAGGAAGAAAAAGATGCAGTTGAATAGTTTACCCAGAGTTCAGGGTTAGTGCAGAGCTGCAGGTAGTCAAGGGTAGAAGGTGCTTGGAAGTAGAGAGACCTGGAAGCTGAGGTTGAGGTTGTCTCGAGACAGGACAGATGAAGAGAACCAAGGGAAAGGGGGGCTAAGAGCCTGCTGAGATAAAGACAATATTCAGAAAGAATGAAATAAAGGGGTATGGGAACTAACCTCAGGCCAGTTCAGGGATTACAAATACATCCTGTCTCCAGCACTGTGTCTTCTTATTCCTGCAGGAAGGGGAGGCCCTAAGCATGTTTTTCCTTCCCAGTAGCAGACGTGGGTCACATTTAGTTGTAGTACCTCACTAGGTCCTGGTACTAGCATCTGGTATTCTTGACTTCTTTGTGATGCCAAGTCAAGGCTTACCCTTAGGGAACAGCAGAGCTTCCACTTGCATTTCCATGGCCAATACCAGAGTCCTTGTCCAAATGGAAGCACTTCCAAATCCCACCCTGTAGGAATGGACTCACCCTGACCTGCTGTTTACCTGGATCTTTTGGAAAGTGGAATCCTATATTCTATTCTCTCAGGCAGAAACCAGAAAGAAACCCAGCACTGTTGACCAAGGCTCAGGAAGTCACCAAGCTCCCTGAAGAGGGCCCTTGGATAGTGATGTCCTTATCTACAGCAAGGCCATTTGACCCTGAAAAATCCTTGTAGCTTTGATGAAGTCACAAAGAACCAGGCTGGGAGCATTTGGAAGAAGTCTCAGAAAAGAGAAAGATGTTCCCATGAGAAGTGGGTTGGGAGTGGTCCAGCTCCCAGCCAGTGCCTCATTCACTTGACAAACACTTACTGAGCCTCCTCAGTGCAAAGTCCT